GGCTGAGAGGAAGACAAATGAGACCAGGGAGAGGAAGAGCAAGGAAGAAGAAAGTCGGGGCGAGTCACGAAATCCACGTAAAGTCAGAGACAACAGGTGACGCGACAAGACGAGGAAGGCAAGGTCACGTTCGCCGCAGAATGACAGATAGCAAACATATGTTTGCTGTTTGGCGGCTTGCAAATCAATTAGTCTGGCCTGGCTGTCGATGCCGTCACGTGAGCTTAATTAGAAACAGGATGACAGGTAACATTAATTATAGTAACCTCCTGTCATAACAGTCACTCGTATATTAACTGCGAAGCCTCTGGTGCTTAATTGTATGTCTCATTTAATAAATGTGTGTAGTAACAGCCTCTCTCACTCTGTGTCTCTTTGGAAGAGCAACATATTAATTACAAAAGGCCACCGATGTATGTTACTTATCAGAGGCTAATTTAAAACAAGTAAATGAATCTGAACGAATAAATGTTTCTCATTATTCACACTGACACGAGCGCGTTCCTCTGAACACTTCTTCTAATTACAGACACTGAACCTCTTGCAGTTTGGAAACTGGAGTCGCTGCTCTTATTTGAAGGAATTAGCTCGCTTTCATGATGATAATCAGGTTTTTTTGAAACATTAACAATAAAAGTTCATTTAGTTTTTAGAGGTTAGAAGTATTAACAAAGCTGCAAATTCAGCAGTGTCAGTAAATCACAGCCCACAGAGGAATTAATAATTATAAGAAATGTGAGACATTCCCACAAAGACGGACAGTTTAATTGGACGAAAAGTAAAAGTTTATTAAAAAATAATGATTGAAAGATCTAAAGCTTGATAAGAAATGAAAGATATATTTATTCAATGACAAAGATTTATTTGAAATATGTTGAGGACTACTGCAGGGAAAAATGAATATATTAGTCTGTCAGAATTGGACAGCTTAATCAATACTTGGAGCATTAATGGTTCTCCAAAACGTGTAGAATAAAGAAGCAGATTTTCCATTTTGACTCAGTGATGGATAATCCTTGAATAACTATGCTTTTAACAAATGGGCTGCAAGCGTTTAGCGTTCATGGTCCAATCTAATAATTGCTAAAAGCGGATAAAAAGAGCAAACTATTAGTGATATTACTAATTATTGAATGACCAATCAGGCTAAGTGTTCCCTGAAAATGCTACCACAGCCGGTATGATAAATTAGTATTAATGCATTCTGTGTCTGCGTGTGCACTTTATGTGTCTTCATCTGTATGAACGTGACAAAGCCAACGCCATCCGTCTTCCCTTTGGTAATGTGCATGAATAAATATGGAGTTGTTTTAATTCTGAACAGCAAAGGAAACAAAAGCACTGAGATATAACATTTAAAAAAACAAATTAATTAATGAGAAAAAATATTAAAGTTAATTAAACTATTCTTTAATGTTTTTTTCTCTGCTGAAATTTTTAAATTGCAGCAGGTAAATGAAACAATGAAGCATGAAACACACACTACAGCACACACGTGCTGAGTGAAGTGTGGTTTTTTTCACTTGGGTGTTAATGTAGTTTTTAGTGCACGTCAGAATCATTTAGTGCAATTAATGAAACCAAGTTCAGTTCAAAACAGAATCATTAATTCAGTACTTAAAAACAACAACACTGATTCAGTTCATCTGGAGGCAACGACTTCAGCAGGAGGAACCTTCCATCGTCCAGGTGAGCTCTTTGGTCTCAGCTGACTGCAGGTTTTCCCGGCCGTGTAACAGGCGTTGACACACTGCCATAACCACTAATGGCTATGATTACTATTCACAGAGACCTGGGGGTGACTGCAATCACAGCATTGTGAGATAGTATAGATTTACTCTTAGACCCCCTCCTCGGTTCGGAGTCGGTTTACTCCTCGCTCAAACCAGCATTCCTCCCTGTTCACCATGTGGACTGTGTGGGCGTGCAGTCAGCGGAGACAAAGACGTCCATGGATGAGTAATACAGGTTTCTCCCAATGAAAACACTGTGTCTAGATAAACTGAATCAGCTGTCTGGAATTTCCTTTCCCGGATAAGTGGACATGTACTGCGACATCTCAGGAAAAGGTTTAGGAGAGGTGCGTGTTCACCACTGTGCTGCAGCATTTCTTCTTTGAACAGGCCAACTGATGATAAAAGCACAGACACCGACTGGTTTGAACCACAGACTAGCTGCAGTGACATCATTATTTGGTTTTTACCGTTAGCATCATTACCATTCCCATCTCGGTTTCCCAAAACCACACGTGACAAGGAGGCTCGGGTCTGACTGTCAGACCTCTCGCTCATTGGCTGATGACCTGTGATAGGCAACGCGTTAGCCAACAATCACATCATGGATAATATGGAGAATATTCAATATGACCCGAAAAAGTGAATGAGCCCATAAACTCAGCAGCAAAGTGTTTACAGAGTCCAAGACAGAAGCCAAGACTTCCCAAAGGCTTCTACAGGACTAGAAGGGGTTTTTGTTATCACCGCCTGGTGGTCTTCAAACAAAATGCAGGCCTAGCACACAGTGGTCGGCCTCAACGGCAGGGGTGGGCAACTCCAGGCCTCGAGGGCCGGTGTCCCTGCAGGTTTTAGATGTGTCCTTGAACCACACAGCTGATTTAAATGGCTAAATTAGCTCCTCAACATGTCCTGAAGTTCTCCAGAGGCCTGGTAACGAACTAATCATGTGATTCAGGTGTGTTGACCCAAGGTGAGATCTAAAACCTGCAGGACACCGGCCCTCGGGGCCTGGAATTGCCCACCCCTGCTCAACGGGCTGAGTCAGGGACACATGTCAATGCATACGGACCACGCCCCTAACCACAGCATCCAGGTGGATGAGGACTAAACTATTATTTTCCATAAGGTTGGAAACTTCCTTTTCAAAGCTGTAAAGTTGCTCATGTTAACACGGAGTCTTTGGAGATGGGCTTGTGTTTGCAGACAGCCTTCAGCAGCCTTCACTTAGAGGCACTGCAGCTGCAGTTTGTGCTGTTATTCCAACACTGGCATCATTTCTCAGCTCTGGTTACTTTGTAAGCTTTATTTGAAAGCCAAATTTTTTGCTATTCTTTAACGATTTCAGCTGCTCACCAGTTATTTTCATAATGCTCCAACTGGGCGGGATTGTCTGACTGGAGTAAGCGACATCTCTTCTGTCTGGATGGCAGCTTATGGAGCTTAGGTTTATGTTATATCATTAGGAAGTAATGATTCCTTTACAAATATGGAAATTCATGATAAAAATCTTCATATTATTGTTTATTATTAGCACATTTTTGAAACTATGCATCCACACAGTCTGGCAAACTCCTCCCCAGCTTCACATCTGAAAGACTTTCTCTCTCTGGAACGCCCTTTTTACACCCACTCATGTTTCTCATTAACCCCATTAGCTGTGATTCACTCCACCAGGTGTTATTTTTCTTTGTTTGGGGTTTTTCCTCCACTTGTACAACTTTTCATCATTTTGTTCCCCTTTTTTCATGTTTTTTATGTTTTTCACATCAATTTTTAGAATGATGCTTTTCAAAAACACGTTTTTCAGTTTCTGTCCAAACACTGTTAATAACACAGTTATAGATGTGTATATGAAAAAATAAATTCAATGACAAACATGCATGAAAGGTGGCACAAAAGACATGATGAGACATGCAGACATGCACACACCCAGGTGTAGCATTAAAAATAAGTGCTGCAGTGTCCCTGTGGTATTCTAGACAATAATAAGCACCCCCAGCCCGAGCAACACATTTTTACCAACACGTATCCCTGCCTGTGTGTGTCTGTGTGTCTGTTTCCGTGTGCTGTAAGCATGATAGACAGTAAGAAAGGGAAAAGTGTTTTTTTTGGTGTACTGTACTCGTTTGAGTCTGGCATTTAGAAACAAAGAGCTGCACCAGTAAATCTTTCCAGGTCGAAATTAAATAAAGAGAGGGGACCAAGAGAAGGAGCAAAGACAGAGACAGGAGAAAGACAGAGAATTACTCCAAGAAGAGTACTTTCTTCCCCTCATCGCTCTCACCAAAAGGCCAAGTGACAATTTGAACAATTACCCAGAGCCATTACCTCTATCTGAACCGTGCTGCTTGAGAAGAGACAGATGAGCCAGTGACTGAGCGTGTGCGCGTACGTGTGAGTACGAGCGAATGAATCGAAGAATGAAGGACGCTGAAAGAGATAAAAAAAAAGACTGACAGCGACTGAGAAAATAACGTACGAGGAAGAGACAAACAGAAAGAAAATTTCTTCAGAAAACACTCAGCACAGGGCCATTTAGCACTCCAGCACTTACATGGTAGTTACTGCAGCACAGCAGGTAGATGGAGGAAACCCGTGTGGCACCGACGGCTTAAAAAACACAAAGATGTGAAGGAAAAACGTGCAGAAAGAGAGATTTCTTTTTACAGCTGTGGTATGGTGGAACGATTGGACTTGTAGGTAAGGTGGTTAAATCTGATGTAACGGTTTATATTTGCAAACACACAGACAGATATGTGTTGGTCCTCCTGACCCGCTGACACATGGACTACATCTATTCTTGTGTTTTAAAATCTCTGCTGTACAATTATCCAACCCTGTAAAAAGAACAGCTCAAAGACAACATAAAAGCATAAAATTACCATGACATTCACGCCTATGATGAGTGTACGTATATGTGGATGTGTAAGAATTTCAGTATGATAGAAATGCAGCTGGGTTGGGTTTTGGTCCGGGTATGACTCTTTTAACATAACACAATGTAGTTATTAAAGACAATAAACATTCATTCACAGTAATAGGAGTAATATAAGAAAACTACAGTTCTGAGATTTTATGTGTGAAATAAGGGAAACCTGAGGAGCTGATATGATCTATAACAGAGAGGACATATATGCTGTTGTGTGGTCAACCAATATATAAGCACCTCAAAGCCTGCTGCATTACTGACATCCTGTAATATTTCATATCAGTAGCTGCACGAGTGACAGCAGCTTAGTTGTACAGAGTGGAAATTGAGTTTAGAATAACACAATCTGTGGGCCTAACCTCCTTACCTTATTTCTCCAGGAAAGATCAATGTTATTAGAGATAAGGTGTATAATGTTTATTATGGAGTTTACTATGAGTGCCAAGCTGTGGGTTACTGGTCTATTTCTCATCTCACCTGTGTGAAGTCAGTGTAACAAAACTCAACAACTACCAACAAGACATGAGACAACAGGTGCAACCAGGTGTCGTTGAACTCTGCAGGACAAATGCATGTAGCATGGAGACTGACCACCTCTGAGGACCAACCACAGTCCCCTAAAGCACTAAACCCTGCAAACAGAGAGGTCTGTGGGGAAAACAGCGTGATTAAGAAAGGGTGTTTGTCCAGTCAGGAATCTCAAGGGCTCAAGGATCACTACTCAGGAGTCTAATCAAGCACGGGCTTCCTTTAACCAGCGGACTGGAGGGACCTTCTGAGTAAAAAAAAGCCACAATAACATGTCAGGACTGCATGTCTACACAACAAGCACACAATAATGATTTTATTTATTATAATATTCTGTTAATGCGTGTCAATTATTAATGAACAGGTTATTTAATTATCAATGATGGGATAAAGCATTAGAAAATATATTAAACTTTTTTGTAATGAAGAATTTTAATGCTTCAGTTCAGTTTTATTACACAGCGCCAAATCACAACAACAGTCGCCTCGAGGCGCTTTATATTGTAAGGTAGACCCTACAATAATACATACAGAGAAACCCAACAATCATATGACCCCCTATGAGCAAGCACTTTGGCGACAGTGGGAAGGAAAAACTCCCTTTTAACAGGAAGAAACCTCCAGCAGAACCAGGCTCAGGGAGGGGCGGGGCCATCTGCTGTGATTGGTTGGGGTGAGAGAAGGAAGACAGGATGAAGACATGCTGTTCAGTGGTTCAAAAATTTGTAATGACATTAAGGCTAACAAATGAGAGCATTAAATAACTTGTTTTACTTGATTAATTTAATTATTTGGATACATGTGTATAGAAAAGAAATATATCTTTAATTTGTGCTTTTGCAGAGCGGCCCACAACATTTGAGCAGTGGAGTTGTGTGGTACTTGTTGTAATTTGTTATGTGAAACGACAAAGACTGTCACATATAAAGAAGTATGTGTGTCCACTTTACAAGGACAAAATTGGCCTCAGTCACACACTGAGGTTTCTGCCAGCCGCTGTGAAAACGATCACTAAGGCTACGTCCACACCTAAACGCGTATTTTTGAAAACGCTGATTTTTCTATGCGTTCGGGCCTTTCGTCCGCAAACAGTGTTTTCATTCACTGACAACGGAGATTTTTAAAAACTGCGTGTGGACGAGGAAAACAGAGATTTAGTCACGCACGTCGCGCTGTGCGCCATGTTATTGTTTCCATGAGATGAATTTCTACAATGGCAGATGCAGACAAAATACGATTTGCTGTTAATCTTCTGCAGTTTGTTCTCTTTCCCTCCCAGGCTTCCAGACCTCTCATTGGCCAACATTTCTACACGGTTATAATTATATCGCCACCTGCTGCTTCGGCATGTTCTTGACAGTGTTTGACTTTGTTTTTTGCGTTTACGTGTGGACATGGTTCTTTTTTAAACAAAAATGGAAAATCTCAGTTTACAAAAATACCCGTGCACATGTGGTTGTAGCCAAAAGCTTTGTTTACACGGACCAGTGAGTGACTCCACTGGTAACCACTGCTCACCTGGAAAAATATGTATTCCTGAATTGTTTAGCTGAAGGCTGCTGGCAGTCGTCAGTGTTAAAATGGTGGCAAAGAGGTTTCTGCTGCTGCTGCACCAAAAGCCTCCTCGTGATTGCTTTGGTTGCCAGCAGACTGCTGCAGTCCTGATCATGTGCTTGATAGACGCTGACGTGTCTGCAAAAGCGAAGCCTGTTTGATTGGTTGTTGGCTGCAACGCTAAGGCACAACTTGGAAAGTAAATGGGGAGTTGCAGACAAAGTACAGTAATTCTTTAGGTTTTAAAACGAGTAAGTAATGTGTAATATATGTTTCAAATAATCTGCCCAATGCTCTTGGAATAAACAGTGTAACATGATAATGAAGGTTATAGATTAAAGATGGCAGAGCTCGATCAACGTTCAATTTGAATTCAAGATAGTGAAATTAGCTGTTCTCCATTAGATGGATGTTGTGTTTATCGCGCTACATGTAAGCAGATGTATCAGGTCATCACTGCACTTGTGCATCCTATATTTCTGGGTCAGAGTATTCAGATGGGACAAAGAAAGGAAACTGAAGAAATGCAGCCTGGACAGACTGACTGTTTTTAAGAAGAACACGAGACTAAAAAGAAGTGCAAACAGCTTCAGAGAAGAACCCAAACATGACAGACAACAAACGGTTAGTATTCCTACAGCAGCTCCTTTTGTGTTTACTTTGGATTAACTGTGAGTCCAAATTAGTCATTCTGACACAAACTGGGTCAAAATGTTAAAAATATAAAAAAAAAAAAAAAAAAAAGTAGAGGTAGAAGGTGGAAAGGACCGGGAACATGAGAGGAAAGGATAAAAAAAAAAAAGAGTTTGCCCTATGACCTTTGAAGAGAGAGAGACAAAAAATGAAAAGAGAGGGAAGAAAAACTGTATTCATCCATCTTTGTTAACGGAGCCTGAAGTGACAAAGTGTGTCTGCAGAGAAAAGACATGACGACACTAAACGCTCCATTCAGCCCAAACCTTGATCACATGTGCCTCTCTCACACACACACACACACACACACACACACACACACACACACACACACCTGCATACACCACTGATTCACCCACAGGACACCTGAGCTTGCTGTTATAAACGTGTAACCGTGTGTTAAACATGACAAACACGAGCAGCGCACATCAAACAAAACACTTTAAATGACAGGATTGTGCATGCAATAATGTTGCATTTACATTCACATCATTGTGTATATGCACAGTGTATATAATGCTTTCCTACATACATTAAAAGGCCAGACATTCATAATAATAACAGCAGACCAGGCCAACTGTGAAGTATTCCCACTACTTTCATTTATGCTTCCAACTAGAAAAGAAACTATGAATTTTCCTTATACGATGAACCCGGCAGCATCAACATTAGACGTTTTCATGCTCATATAAACTTTGAATGCTATACTCTTTATGAGCTTTATGAGCAGTGGGGCAAATATAGCATTTGTCCCTGGACTGCTGCTACAACAAAAGCCACAAGGGTATAAATATCTCATCGTTTCTCCTTTTTACAACAGCATTAGAAGGAAGCTCACAGTGCCCATGATGAGACATTAGAGTAAATCAGTAACTTACAAAAGCTATTCAAACACATTTTAAAAAGATAGTATAACTTTGGAAGAACCTAATGATACCAATTAGTTCGACTTTAATAAATATGTCGTGGTACGTGGTGTCATACAGGAGTTAGCCGGTGCCTATTTAACACAATATATCACAGTTCTTTAAGAGCTGTTGAGGAATTAGGAAGAAGAAGACTGTAAATATCCCGCTAACAACAGTGAATGTATACTCAGCCATTATGTGTATTTCCATAATAGAGGAACATCTGGACTAACCACACTTAACTTGAACTGCTGAAGCTTCAGGAAAACTTTGGAGAGCATTATTGCACCGACCAAGCACTGATCATTTAGCCTCGTACACCACAGGTGTGCCTCAGGGCCATTCAGCTGAGTCACAGGTAGACCAGCCAAGATCTACTCCTGTGCATATATATATGAACATATAACTATTGTTTTAATACATACCAGAAAAATCCTTGAAAAATAAGTATTACCGTATTTTTATATTTTAGTTTTAGGTCTTTAAGTGTGTTTCTGTGTGTTGTGTGTTGTTCTCTCTTTTTTTCTCCAGTGGCCTTAGGGTCTTACCATCAAAGTGTTGTCTTCCTTGAAGGAGGGCTCAGACTCTGCTGGTTGGGGGCTGAGGGCAGAATCACTGCTGCTTCGCACCAGCAGGGGTGTGTCTATAATAAGCATACAGAGGACAGCATCCAGTCAGCCACAGACTTAATGCGCAGATACTTAAACATTAATTGTAAGTTGATGAGCGTACACTAACAGAGACATGTACGTGTTATCTGCAACATGATGCAAAATCAAGACGAGTTTGAAAGTGAGAAGATCTGCCGCCCAAAGTCATGGTTATACATACACGAGTGCAGAAATGTGTGTTCGTTTATGCAGCTTGAGTGTGCACACTAATTAATTACTCAAAATGTTTGAAGATGTTCAGCAGCCCGTAAATCAACAACTTTTCCCTCATTTCTATCTTTCCATAAGCTGTGTTCAGGAAAAAGCACATAGCATGAATCTAACCATCAACTAACCACACAACAGTTGGTTTGAAGCCACATTAACTCTGCTCCTCTGGTAGCTTCTCTGTCTGTCAGTCCAAAATAACAGACAGTGCCTGGCTCCAGAGCCAGACAGGCGAGAGGTTTATCACAGAAAAATAGGAACGCACACGGAAACACACATAAATGTTACGTTCTGGTCACAGCTGGGACGTTTTCCTGAGATTTAATGTGTTAATTTTAAATGTACAGCTACAGCAGCTGTACACTGTAATATAAGACACATTTTACAAGTCTGTGGTTTTAGATTGGGATTGTTTAGTGTGTAAAGTCCAACTTTGTAGATTTACAAATAGGTTTGTTTAAATAGCTATAAATTTACACTCACTGGACAACTTTAAAAGTTCACCCTGCTAGGAGCAGGTGGATCCTTCCTTCATGGTATGGATTCAACAAGGTGCTGGAAAACCCTCAGAGATTTTGGTCCATATTGATATGACAGCATCACGCAGCTGTGGCGGGAAACAGCTGTTACGCCGCATCCCTAAGGTGCTCTATTGGATTGAGATCTGGTGACTGGAGACCATTAGAGTACAGTGAACTCATGATAGAGCCCAGCTAGAGATGATTTGAGCTTTGTGGCATGGTGTGTTATCCTTCTGGAAGCAGCCATGACAGTAAGGTCCACTGTGATCATAAAGAGATGGACGTGTGGAATTTAAATGACGCTTAATTAGCATTATGGGTCCTAAAGAGTGCCACAAGCCCACACCGTTACACACCCACCCTGAACAGCTTGATGTCATTTACACCAAATTCTGACCCTACCATTAAAATATTAAGAAATGGAGTCTCGTTAGACTCAGAACAGTTTCTGAAATCTTCTTAGAATCTAGTTTTGGTGAGGCCGTGCGAATAGCAGCCTCAGTTCCCGCTCTTAGCTGGCAGGTGTGGCGCCCGGTGTGGTGTTCTGGTGCAGTACCCCATCTGCTTAAAGGTTTAAGACAGGGGTGGGCAAATCCAGGCCTCGAGGGCCGGTGTCCTGCAGGTTTTAGATCTCACCTTTGGTCAACACACCTGAATCACATGATTAGTTCATTACCAGGCCTCTGGAGAACTTCAGGACATGTTGAGGAGCTAATTTAGCCATTTAAATCAGCTGTGTTGGTTCAAGGACACATCTAAAACCTGCAGGGACACCAGCCCTCGAGGCCTGAAGTTGCCCACCCCTGGTTTAAGATGTTGTGCTTTTAGAAATGCTCTTCTGCATACCTTGGTTCTAAAAAGTGGTTAATTGAGCTACTGTTCTCTTCCTATCAGCTCAAACCGTGAAGACACTAAAGATGGCTGTGCAGAAAGACCCCAGCAGATCAGCAGTGCATGAAACACTGAGACCAACCTAACAGCTATGCTAGGTCAAAGTCACTTAAATCCCTTTTCTTCTCCCATTCTAAAGCTTGGTTTGCACCGAGGCTTATAAGGTAATTGCATTAACAGGTCATCGAACAGGTGAGTGAATATTTACTTAAGTGGGATGTATTTTGTGGAACATGAGCCATATTTAGCAAATTTGTGAATACCATCCAAGTAAATATAAGAGCTGGCATTGGGTTTAACGACCCTCAACTTTGATGCAACAACCAATGGGAGCAAAGAAGACCAGTGGTCATGTGCTATGATGTGCATGTGCAATTTTCTCACCCTCTCCAGGACAAGCACATTTGTAAATCTAATTACAAATTAATTCTTGTTAACATAAATCAAAGTTTGTAGGGATTGAACCGCCACGCTCCCCCGGTGAGGAAGGATGTGGCGACACTGAATGTGTGATGTATCTGCAACCAGAACATCACAGAGCTCTAATGTGTGACACGTTAATGTATACACTGATGTTCATGCATATATGGTTGATCTGCACATTTGTTTGTGCAAGAAGCTGATATATGATAGTGTTTTCGTCTTTGCATCTCATCACCCCTTCACATAAAAAAATCACTTAAAAGAAACGGATAAATGAAACACAGCGTGCTTTGCTTTGTGCAGAACGGATAAAATGTGAAATTGGAAGAAAGAACTGCAAAACTAAAGCCAATTACTGAGATTTATTAGCAGTGGCATTACTATGACATGTGTGGTATACTCCCAGACCTTAACTCTACCCCTCCCACTCATGGGGACCATCAATCCATACATACATTAAGAACACTGTCATGATAGTGTCTACAGTTCAATAGGGAATACTATAGTAAGGTGGTGGTGAGGGTGGAGGCAACTCTATATGGTCGCACTACTCAGAAAACATGCCAAATGGTATTTGTAGGGTCATTTATTGATCATCACAAAATGGACCCTTGGTGCTCTTAAGTCGGGCTGGGGGATATGGATTACATCAAAACTTCAATGAATTCATCTCCTCAAAGGAAGCAATGAAAGAGGGATAATGGATGGAGGACAGAAGTGGTGAAAATGAGGAAAATATATAAATATATATAAAATATGAAAAATACGACTATACTGTAAATACTGAAACATAAAACAATAAAATTGGTTAAAATAAGATATGTGGCATATTCCAAAAGATATTCTAATTTAAAGAGAATTCTAGATTTTCTAGTCACTAATGTCCACTTCCTGACAAACTGTGGTGTGTAATGATGACAGCATGATTATGAGAGTGGATCTTACACTGAATGTTTCTCATCTAAATATAATCAACGTGCTTAACCTCCTAGGACCTGGCGTCCACATATGTGGACATCACATTTTGGATTGTCTAGACCACAATACTAAATTTTGCTCTACAAGGGCCTGATATCCACTTACAAGGACATTACACTGCCACTGTTCTATCGAAATTTAAAACAAACTACCTCATATGTGGATATCAGACCCTTGTAGAGCAAAATCAGGTAAAAAGATAATTCTTTGTTTTTACATTTTCATCACGCAAAGAGAAATTAAAGATGCATGCCACGAAAGAGTTCGGGTCTTAGGAGGTTAAATGTTGTTAGTTATTAGATAGGAGTAAGAGGGTGGATGGACGGATGGACGGACAGATGGATGGACAAATGGATGGACGGACGGACGGACAAATGGATGGACAGACGAATGGATGGACAGACGGACGAATGGATGAATGGACGGATGGATGGATGGATGAATGGATGAACGGACGGATCAATGGATTGACAAATGGATGATGGACGGATGGAAGGATGATGGACAGATGGATGATGGATGGATGGATGGATGATGGACAGATGGATGACGGACGACTGGATGGATAACGGCTGAATGGATGGATGGACGGACAAATGGATGGATGGAAGAATGGATGGACGGACGACTGGATGAACAGACGGATCGATGGATGGACAAATGGATGATGGATGGATGATGGACAGATGAATGATGGACAGATGGATGATGGATGGATGGATGGATGATGGACAGATGGATGATGGACGGATGGATGACGGCTGAATGGATGGATGGATGGATGGATGGATGGACGGACGACTGGATGAACAGATGGATCGATGGATGGACAAATGGATGATGGACGGATGATGGACAGATGGATGATGGACAGATGGATGATGGACGGATGAATGGATGATGGACAGATGGATGATGGACGGATGGATGGATGATGGCTGAATGGATGGATGGATGGATGGATGGATGGACGGACAGATGGATAGACGGACGAATGGATGGACGGAAGAATGGATGGAGGGAAGAATGGATGGACGGACGACTGGATGAACGGACGGATCGATGGATGGACAAATGGATGATGGACGGATG